TCGTGTGAAGGGACTTGGCGAAGGTTCTGAGCTGTATTATGCCAGCAGGAAGGGTACAGGTTCCAAGTCTTCCGAGCGTTACACACCTTCCCTGCTTTCCCAGATGCAGGATCAGGTGGAGCAGAGGGTGGAGCAAAGGGTGCAAGCTAGGCTCAGTGAAGTGGAACTCGAGATGGAGGCTCGATTGGCGGAAATAGAAAGGAAAAACCAAGAGAGGTTTGAAGAGATGATGCGTCGATTCTCCAACACCGACCAATGTTCCAACATTCCGCATCAACCTCGAGACCCCGACCCGGATAGCGGCGGTGCAGGGCAAGGTACTCCGGCTGTAGCTTAAAATTTGTTTATATTGTATGTAGATGTATTTAGATTATGTTGTATAGTAGGACACTAGGACCCAATGTATACATTATTACAAATTAATATATAAAAATATTTCGGTAATTAAATTATAAATTAATTTGGGTAATTAGGTGCAGGATTAGGTGCAGGATTTATAGGTTACGAAATACTAATTACATTTAATTGTAAAATAAAACAGAATAATTCCGACGGAAGAAACATAATTTCCGACGGAAAATTTTGTCGGAACAATTAAACTTCCGATGGAATATTCCGTCGGAACAATTAATATTCCGATGGAAAATTCCGTCGGAAAGTTAATCCTTCCGACGGAAATATTCGTCGGAAGAGTTAACCTTCCGACGGAAAAGTCCGTCGGAAGGGTAATTGTTCCGACGAAATTTTCCGTCTGAAGTATATTGTTCCGACGGAATTTCCGAGGACTGTTGAGTCGGAACTTTCCGACGGACTGACGTTGAAAGTCAATATCTTTTACGACGGACTAAAGTTCGTCGGAAATTCCGCCGGAAATGTGTTTTCCGACGGAATTTTCCTCGGAATACCCCAAATTTCCTACGAAGTATTTTGCGACAGGCTTGTTCCGGCGGAATTTTTCTCTTCTTCCGACGGAAATGTTCCGTCGGAAATAAGCTGTTTTCTTGTTGTGCCAGTTATACTTGGGAATATAATTTTGAGGAATGAACTCCCTCGCCCCACTCTCGGGGTTTGCCTGGATGTCTACTTTGAAGAGCCCTCTGTCAAGGATCTCTTCTTTTGCTTTACGGGGAACAAGCGGCAGCTCAGAACCGCCTGTTAGGAAAGGTGGGTTCCTATTCCACCTATTGAATTTTTTGTTCGTGACTGTGTCAGGGCTGGAGACAATGTAGAAAGTGTTCCTCCAATATTTCCACTCGTTCTCCTTCCCCACAGTCATCATATAACCCTTGTGGCTAGACCACTGATATTAGCCGGTCTCGCTTATCTTCGGGGTCTGGCTGAGGTAGTGCATGTGAGCGAATGCTTCAAAGCTTGGCTCTACCTCATGCATTTCGCAGCCGGCAACATAGCCCAAGATGTTGAACCAAGAGTTTGGGGATAGCTGCTAGACACCTAGCTGGTATCCATCCAAAATATTCTCTACAGCCGAATGTAGAGGAAATCTCAGGCCAGCCTTAATAGCCGCCTCATAGCAGCCAAAGCATGCGTCCCCTAGCTGGACTGCTCGGGCCAGACTACAATGTCCTCGACATCCGACGCGCATAGGACATAACCATGCCCCATGACATGGTTAGCTCTGAAGACCCAATTTTTTCCGCCATCATTTTCCGCTTGCCTGCGGGAACATGATGATAGTAGGCGACATATTGCTCTCGGTTGGTGCTAGACGGCTCCCGCCAGTCTGCTCCCAATTCTACTGAGAGGGACTCTCGCGCAGTCTCTAGCTGAGAGTGCCTCTCTTCAAACTCATCTGAGAATTTTTTGGAAGTACTTAGCTCAGAGTCGTTGTCTGAGCTCTCGGATGAGGAGTCTGCCCGGTGGGCTAGGTCAACAAATCCTGGCATCTCATTTTGAACCTCCTCCCCTAATTCTTCTAAAATGGAATCATTGGGAGTGCTTGGGGCACCAGGCGGCATGTCAGACAATTCACTGACAGACGCATAAAAGGAAGAGCCGTCTGAATTTATTACCCTTACGGTTCTCTTTGTTCTAGCCATGGTTTCCTGCACAGACACATAGACAGTCGGACATGGGGCAGTTCGCAAAGGGTGATTCAGCAAGGGGCGGTCAGCACTCCTAGTTCTATATTCAGCCGTCCCCGGTGACCGGCAGATCACTAACCTAGGCCGTGTTGTGTGCTTTTGGGAAACCATTTTCAAAAAGAAAAAGAGAAACAAAGAGAAAATGCGAAAGAAAGCAGGTGGTTACCTTTAAGAAAAGATTGGAAGTACTTAAGAAACGGGCTATTGTTTAAGCAAGCGGTCCAAAAGCAATCGGCAGTCGTCCAAAATGTCAGAGCTTCTAAGTCAAAAATTTTGTCTGAAAAAAGTTCTAGAATGTCCAAATGATTTGGACACCCTCTATTTATAGGGGGATAATTTCAAGGGTTAGTAAAAAAAAAAAAGGGTAAAAAACTGTTAGCCAATCAGAGGCCACCGTTAGCCAATCATTTGTCCCTCACAGGGTAAAAATTTTGATTGGCATGCCACGTCACCCCTGTGAGGGGCAAATGATTAGGGGATTTATCCCACTACGTGGACCAATTATACTCTGCCACATGTCATGCACGTGGACCAACCAGAGCCCGCCACGTGTCACCTCGTGAGAGGTCCAAGGTGGACCAATCAGGCCACGACACGTGGCAAACAGATGGCCAACTAGGAAAGTGGTCTTTAAGGGCCCAAATACCTAGGCAAGCCCAGTCAGTCCTAGGTTTCTGAAAACCTAGTACTGGGCACACATTTCAAGACCCTATAAAAGGGAGATGTTCCCTCTAAGAACATCATTCAGAAATTCAAAAAACACACGTGTACATTGATTGCTGCGCATTAAACCCAGCATTAATTGCACTCCTCGAGAGCTAAGGCTCGGATATTGAGACTGTCTCAGACAGTTGGATAATCACTCTCCTTCCAAGAGGAGCCCGATCCCCTTTACTTTCCGCATCTTTACTTTCGAACACGTTCTAACTTGATCGTCGGAGGCGGAACTCCCACCCACAGGAGTCTCCGTTGTTTTGCAGGTACAGACATCCAGAGGTCAGTCTTGGTGTTGTAACTCTCCCGCAGGACATTCAAAAAACCCCGAAACAGGTCTAATAAGTTTAGATAAATATTAATAAGTTCAGTCTAATAAGATAACGAGAACATCACGCTCATCTATTTTTAACATACATTTTAGCCTCAAGAAGATACCCCAATGTCTTTTTTAATAACAATTTGCCTAAAATGAACCTGAGTAGAAGAACATACACATGGATAAAAAAAGAGAATAAGTACTAAATATAGTGAAAGTTTTAATTTGGTGCTTCAAACAATAATAAAGCAATTTCCAAATTTAATGAGCAATTATTGTCTTTTAATTACAAACTAGTGTTTAGCCCGGACGATACCCCGGGTCTATACTTTAAATATTATTTTCTTCATATTATAGTTTTCATGTATTATAATAATCTTAAATACTTTTATTATAGATTTAGTTGAACAAAATACAAATAAAAATAAAAATATCAAAACCTTGTGGCCTACATTAAGTATATTTAAGAAGAATAAATAAGCAAAAATGTTACATAGCAAAGATGGTATGGCTTCTTATTTATTTTCTAATGGACCCGAGTTCAATTCTCGACATAAGCATATTTTTTAATTGACATGTACCGTTCATGTATAATTCTCCTTGGTGACGTGGCATCTTTTTGGTGGAAAAGAGGGGTGACACGTGGCGTGTATTCTTGATTAAGAACGTATTTTAATATATAGTATAGAAGATCTACTTTTCCTAAAAAAAAAATTACAAATTTAAAGTCAACAATTTTTTTTTAAATAAGTAAAAATATTATCTAGTAATTAGCAGCATGATAATTAGCTAGAAATCTGAGGCTTTTGTATTGTTAAAACATTAGATTTGTATGAGTTGTGTACTTGTGTCATTAGTCATTACACAAAAGCAATCTAACTATTTCAACTAAAATTTCTTTCATTGCGTTGAATTTGGAAACATATACACTTAATTTTTGTAAATAAAAACTTAATAGTTGTATACAAAATATGTTATTTCGCAGAAAAATGCTAACTATTTATTATCTAAAAAATATACATCGAGATGAATCGAATAAGATCTCACATAACTATTTTGTAAGCTATAAATAAAAAATGAAAATCAAAATAATTTGTGTATATAATATCCAAAGTCAAAACTTGTAAACAAATATTAAATACTAAGTGTATAACAATTGACTAAAATAAGTGCGGAGTATGTAGTTAAGAAAACATAGGAAATGCACTCTACTTTCATGTTGTCAAGTGTAGCACATGCATGCATTTTCTCATGCCAAATTTCCACTTCCGTCTGTCCGATTAATAAATTGAGTGTTTCCCACTTTACCAAATTTCCTTGTTATGCGCAGTGTGAATCGAAGGTTAAACGTGAAACAAACATTTATAACATTGCAGATTTGCAGACCCATAAGTCCAGAAGACCAGAACTATGCAATTAGATATGTATATTTATTTTCTTTTTCCAGATTTTTATTCACATATAACTTATTCACTTTATATTATGTTCTCATTGAATTTTAAAATGATTCTGATTTTTAGTTTTTGACATCTGTTATGGTATGAGTTGATTTGGTTGATCAATTTTTCTGATGTGGTTTGATCTAATTTTTTTTGTTTCGTATAAATTGTTATCGTTGTAAACTATTGGTGTTATTTTTATGATTTAATTTATATTAAGAGTAAATTAAAATTAATAAAAATAAGGTAAAAAGATTAAAATCCTTAGTCGGCTATAGAAATGAAGACCGATACAATTGATTGTGATTGAACACTATTATGTTGGATAAATTTGATTATGCTATCAAAGTAATAATAAGTGTAGGTCTAACAATAATATAGTGTAATAGTTCTAGTCATATAAAATTTTAAGTCAGAACTTGGATCTGACTTGATCAATTTTCGTTCAGGTAAAAATTTAGTTACTCTGCATCATTCTGGATATGGATGAAATAATAATTGGTTATGCATTAATTTTTTCATACTAAAGTGACCAACTGACCTTATAGTGCGGACTGCAGAGTAGTGTACCATTAAACTACTCCGTTAGAAAAAAGTCTATAAAGTGATGAAGTTAGTTCAACTCTTACGCACATTTCTAACTTCTACCAAAAAAAAAAAGAAAAAAAAAACCAACTATGGCAGATTATGCTAAGAAAATCTCAAAATCAACAACTTCACAAGAAGTAGAAATTCCAAAAAAGAAGACCCCTTTAAACTATTACACTTCAATTCAGCTCAAGTATGTAAAACTTGGTTACCATTATCTCATCTCGAATGCAATATACTTGATGTTGTTCATCTTTTTCATTCCACTCGTAGCCCTCCCTCTTACCAAACAAGACTTATCCCAACTACGGGATAATCTTCTCAAACTTAACCATCACTCTATCGGCGACTCCCTACTTGTCCCTTTTGTCTTCCTGGCTATGCTTCTTCTTTACCTGAGGGGCACCAGGAAGACGGTGTACTTAGTCGATTTTGCTTGTTGTAAGCCACACCCTTCCCGTAGGACAAGTAAGGCGACATGCGTAGATAGAATAGCTCAATGCGGGACATACACTCAAGAGAACGTTGAGTTTCAAAGGAAGTTGTTTGAGAAGTCCGGGGTAGGCGATGAGACGTACTTGCCGGAGGCTGTGATCCAAGTCCCTCCGAATACAACGATGGACGAGGCGAGGAAGGAGGCGGAAAATCTCATGTTTTCAGCAATAGATGAATTGCTTGCAAAAACAAAGGTTTTGCCTAAGGAAATTGGGATACTTACAATAAATTGTAGTGTTTTTAATCCTTTGCCTTCACTTTGTGCAACGGTGGTTAACCATTACAAGCTTAAGGAAGATGTTGTCACTTATAATCTTGGTGGCATGGGATGCAGTGCTGGCCTCATTTCCATTGATCTTGCTAAAGATCTTTTAAAGGTTTGCTGTCAATTGCATGCAACTTAATTACATATATACAATATAATAGTACTATAAAATACTTGAAAATATATTCGTGACATCATGAATGATTGATTATTTTAAGGATGGTTTGCCTGATATATTTAAATGAATATGTAAAAAGTAGTTAGTTAGCTTGCTCAAATGTTAAATGGGATAATAACATGAATATATAGGGAAAAAACTTCAAGAGAGTTGTGACTTAATTAAATTAGTTTAGCTATGAAATATGAAATACATAAAAAGATTATATATTTATACAAGTATGTTCACAAGAAACAACCAGGCCAACATGATGATATTATCCTCTGGTTCATTTTGTTAGTATTCTTTCATATCTTGCACAATTCCAATTTTTTTATTCTACACATGTTACTCCTTAGCAGAAATATATTCAATTATGTACTTTAAAAAAATTGTTTTAAAACTACACATCAAAACGAACCAAACAAAATCAAATTTGAATTTTTTTTCTTATATGATTGTCGAGAAAGTCTAGGATATTTTCATTGAAATTACTACCTTCGTTTCTCATCATGTGCAACCAAGGAATATTTTATGTCTTACAAATAATACCCCTTTGTTACACATAATAAGAAACGGAGGTAGTATAAAGATTTTTTTTTTTGAGGAGGGTAGTATAAAGATTTAAAGCAAGATTAACATGCATAAATAAATAAATGAATGGATTATTATTATTATTATAAAAGGTAACAAAAATCTACAAAGTCAACCGAATTACAAGAAATTAGAGATACAATCTTAACATTATTAATATTATTTCGCATGATATTCTCTTTCTCTATCAAAACAAATAAATTGGCCTTACTCTTCTACTAGTAAGCTTTTTAGTCCACGTACCAGATTTTTTGGTTTTGAAACTAAATAGTGACTCAAAAATGATGACTAAAATTTAAATTGATACCCAAAGCCGACTGAACCAGACACTATAATGATCCATAATAATAATAATAAAATAATAAAAATAATAATAATATTATTATTATTGAATTTGTCAACAAAAAAACTGCTGACTAAGGTCCTGTTCACTTCACCTTAAAAAAATAATATTAAGTAAAAATAATTTCAGTTCAGTAAAATTAATTTCAGTTCAATAAAAATAAGTTCAATTCAGTAAAATTTAGTTACTATAAAGAAGAAATATAATAGAAAATCAATAAAATAATTTCAGTTCAGCAAAAACAATTTCAGTTCAGTAAAATTGATTTCAATTCAGTAAAAATAATTTAAGTTCAGCAAAATAATTTCAGTTCAGTAAAAATAATTTCAGTTCAGCAAAAATAAGATGAAATGAACGGGGCCTAAATGTCTAATGTGTTTAGTTACTCCTATTAATTAAATTCATGTGTTTAGTTACTCCTATTAATTAAATTCATGTGTTGTGTTTGTTGCAATAGGTGCATGCCAATTCATATGCTATGGTTGTCAGCTTAGAGTGCTTGACACAAAATTGGTATTGTGGAAACAACCGTTCAATGCTCATCTCAAATTGCCTTTTCCGGATGGGCGCTGCTGCAATCCTCCTCTCCAACAAGCGTATTGATCGTCGTCGATCAAAATATCAATTGGTACATGTCGTCCGCACCAATAAAGGTGCAAACGACAATAGCTATAGTTGCGTATACCAACAAGACGACCACGAAACAGGACTTCGTGGCATTGCCCTTTCTAAGGACCTATTGACAATGGCAGGGGACGCTTTAAAGACAAACATCACGACTCTCGGGCCTTTAGTTCTTCCAATATCCGAACAACTTATATTTTTAGTCGTGTTACTTGGAAAAAAAGTGTTACGTATGCACAAACTTAAGCCATACGTGCCAGATTTCAAGCTAGCTTTCGAGCATTTTTGTGTTCATGCCGGTGGAAGAGCCGTTCTTGACGAGTTAGAGAAGAACCTCCAGCTCTCTCAATTACATATGGAGCCTTCTAGGATGACTCTTTATAGGTACGGAAATACGTCTAGTAGTTCGTTATGGTACGAGCTTGCGTACCTTGAGGCTAAGGGGAGGATCAAAAGAGGTGACAGGACTTGGCAGATTGGATTTGGATCTGGATTCAAGTGTAATAGCGCGGTTTGGCGTGCTTTGCGTAACATTAATCCTAAAGATGAAGAAGGAAATCCTTGGATGGTTGAGATTGATTATTATCCGGTTAACGTACCTCAAGTATCACCTATAGTCATGCCAACCTTCTGAACTAGCTAAGTAAACATTCCATCTTATAATTTACTCTGTATAATTATAGATATGACTATGTTCGTTGTATTTTAATTTCCATGTACACCTTCTTTGGTTTTCTTATAATTTACGCTACTTAATAATACATGGTTTGTTCATGACTTTTTAGTCTGAAGTATTTAACTCTCCTCCAGTATTCTGTCTTCTCATTTATTGATGAATCAAAATTTGCTCTTTTGTTAAATACTTAAATAAGCATACTGAACCTAGTAAATAATTGGACTTACTAAGGACTTTAAACACAATTTTGTTCCATAAAACTACTTTGGGTTTAAGACTTTTTGGAGAGCTTTCATCTTATGAACTAGTCTTTTGGCCCGTATAATGCACGGGTTGTATAAAGTCAACTCGGGTTAAAATTAATATTTTTTTTTTATGATTATACAATTTTTGTGTGAGAATGAATATGATATGTATTCACTAACAATATTAAGTTATAGAGAATGTGAAAAACGTCATTAAATACATAGATTATATTAGCAATAAAATCATATTTTTTGTTACAAAAATTTGATTAAAGAAAGGAATGACACTTGACGTTAGTGGTTTGAGTTTTTATATACTAACTAAGTATATACGAGGCCGATTAGATATTTGGCCATTTTGAGTAAGCTTTGGGAAGTTCGGTAAACAAAATATTGATGGAGTTTAGGCTAAAAAAATCACTTTGAACTTTTTGATTATTACGTATATTAAAACGACTAACAATCAATAGCTATTTATCATACACTTTTGCATAATTAGCTCTTTACCACCGGCTAGTCAAACTAATTAATATAATTAACTAGTCAAATAAGTTAATACAATCAGCTACGAGCTAATTATCAAACAAGACCATTATAAGAAGTTTATAAACTTACTTTATTGAACATTTAGGTTTTTGGTTGTATATATATATATACACACACTAAACACAACTAACTATTATCATCTATTAACGAACAAGTTATTACAATCAACTAATTAAACCAGTCAATACAATCTTTCCTATAAATCAGCTACATAGTACTAATTAGCTAGTTACAATCATGCAAGCAATTCATCCTTCGTTCCATTAAATGTTGCAACATTTTTTTTTTTGTATATGCGTTCTCTCTATCTCTATCCTCATCATATGGGTTTATGCTTTTTGCTCTCTTTATCTCTCTCATTGTCTTAAAAACCGTGCTTACCTCCTTTGTTACAATATTAAGGGAACGGATATCATACAGACAAAATAAGTTAAGGATAATGCTACATGTAGCCCTTAGGACTACAAATAATCATTAAATATCTTTCCTTTTATTATATTAGTTTAGAAATACATAACAAACGCGCAAATCAGTGTAATTAATGAATATATTTTGTTAATATACTTCTTATACATAGCCCTAAGCATTTTTCATAAGTTAAATGATACAATCCGGAAATTATTACAAACGCTTGCACTCACCTGGTAGCTGCTCCTGCTTTTTCAAAGTAGATTGTGTGGTTGGTGAAACCCAAAACATAGGCACCTTCATTTGTGCGCGCAAAAAGAAGATAAATCTAATCTATCCATGAAAATGAAGCTACAATTTAAGAAAACGAATACGCCACAAAAATTAAACCTTTAATTTTAAAATTTCCTTTATTAGCAACCACTTAAAACTCACCCACATTATCCCTCCACATTTCACACCAGTCTGCCACTCTTAGCTCCAAGGAGAGAGAATATGGCGATGGCAATGGCGCTTCGCAAGCTCTCCAATTCCGCCAACAAACCTGTTCGAAGCGTCTTTAATGGCGCTCCTCTCTACTTCATGGTCACTTTCTCTCTCCTACTTCGTATTTTTGGTTGATTTTGTGAATTTTATTACAACTTTTGCATGTTTGATATATATATATATATATATTTTTTTTTTTAATCTTAATATGTGATTTTGAATTTTTGGATTTAGTCATCTGAAGCAGCAATTGAGAAGGAGAAGCAAGTTTCTGTGACGGTTTGTATGATTTAGTTGATATGATTGTTGTTTGATTTCGTACTTTATATGAATTTTGAACTGGAAATTTTGGATGAATTTAAGAACAATTGGATAATTGGACAGTGGCCGAAGCAATTGAATGCGCCCCTTGAGGTTGTTGATCCTGAGATTGCTGACATCATTGAGCACGAAAAGGCCAGGCAATGGAAGGTTTTGTCATTTTCTCTCTTCTTTTCACAGTACTTGGATTATTATTGGGTCCAGATTTTGTTATCCGAGTATTTCCTTCGTTTTAGTTTGATCGTAATAATTTGACTTTCACATTTGTCCAAGTATAACTCTACGGTCTTTGTTTTTCTTTTTCACTTTGCACATTTGTTAATAACTTGATATATTGTAACTTTGATCATTAATATTTTGTTGAGAAAATTCTAGAAACATTTATATGGTAGGTTTAGTTTTATACATTAATAAGAATAAATTATCAAAGTGTTATCAAAATGAGATATGTGAATATTGTTAAAGTGGTAAACACTAAAACTCATAAAAAAAACAAAAGGTACATTAAAAAAATCTAAGAACATTTTACCTACTTTTGTGATTTATTCTACTGTACTGATGGAAAAATGTGGCCAAATATAGTGGATGAATATTTTAAAAGTTAACATGTTATTAATTAAAAATATTGAAAGGATAAATTACCATTAGAATTTAGTATATACTTTACTAGTTTAAAGTGCACTACCATCTTGATTATACAATCTTGAAGAATAAAATTGTTAATGATTAACTTTCCATCAACATGTGATTTTGTATAAGAGATACCTAAAGATTTGCAATTGAATCTAACATGTACTCCCTCCGTATATTGCTTCTGATACTAAAACATAGCAATTTCAAATGTACTTGATGTTAGGTGTTTCTTCACAGTTATTCCTCTGGAAATTCTATTAAAAACTTACCACATGTAGTGAATAGTATTGTTTGTTCATGCTAATTTTATGTTCATTTATCTTTTAAACTCTTTGTTTTTACAATTGTCCTGATTCATCTGTTGACATGTTTGGGTAATAGGGTCTAGAACTTATCCCATCAGAGAATTTCACTTCAGTCTCTGTTATGCAAGCTGTTGGGTCAGTCATGACCAATAAGTACAGTGAAGGATACCCAGGAGCAAGATATTATGGTGGAAATGAGTATGTCTATTCCTTTTATTACTGCATCAACTTAATATTTATTTCCTCTTCCTAATTATGATTAAACCTCTGTTCAGATTCATCGATATGGCTGAAACTTTGTGTCAAAAGCGTGCATTGGAAGCATTCCGATTGGACCCTGAAAAATGGGGAGGTGAATTTTCTAATTTGTAATGCTCATTTTCCTGTACCTTGAATACTTTTTGATCCTCTTAAAACCCAACTCACTCATGGGTGCAACACTGCAACCTCCGATCAAATTTGTAAGAGAGCCAAGTTTGTGTCCCCATTTTAATATTGCAGGATAGGGGCTGCACATCCTCTTCCCCTCGTAGACAGAAATCCTTTTTCTCGTAAAGAGAAATCAAGGCCTTATTTTCTTAGGAGCTTATATCTCTATGGTATTAGAATATATATATATATATATGTGCTTACAGAAAACCTCATCATATTACAACAGAAGATGTGCGTTGTAATTTCATTGAGTTTGCTCCCCCACTTGTGCTTCTAAAGTTGTGGAACTTTTTTATATTGTGTGCAGTGAATGTCCAACCTCTTTCTGGATCACCGGCTAACTTCCATGTTTACACTGCTCTTTTGAAGCCTCATGATAGAATCATGGCTCTTGATCTTCCACATGGTGGACATCTTTCACATGGATACCAGGTCTTTGTTTCATTACTTTGTTGATTATTAGATTGTCAATATCTATGTGCTTAGAACATTGCATATATCTATCTACATAGGCTATTCTTCTAATATATGATTGTTGTAAGGCGTTGCGCTTTTTTTTTGTTTTTTTTGGGGGGGGGGGGGGTGATTGATTGGTTTAACTGATTTATTCCATAACTTGTGACTCAGGTTATTAGATGTAAGGATCAACTGTAAGGAATGCTGACTGATATACAAGTTTAAAAACAATTATGAGTGGTTTACGGAAATTCCTTTTCACCTCAAAATTAAGTTTCAAGAAAAATAAGTATACATATGTTTAGATAAGTTCCTATGAGCTAAGGATTTCCCAAGTTCAAATCATGACTTCAATAGTTCTTATAAGCTTAGAAAAGCTCATCTACATCCTAGTTTGTTCAAAGAAGTTCCAATAACTTCAGATAAGTTAGCAATTGGGGAAAAGGACATGCTCTAATTTCTTTTATTAAAGCATTGTTACTGGAAAAAAGCATTTTCTGCAATTAAAACAAGCATAGCAAATGATTAATGAATGACAATCAGATTGGAGCTTTGAGTTAGCTATTTAATGGTCTTCTTAGATATCTAAGCCTTGTGTTAAAAAAAAAAATTAGAGCTGCATAAATAGCTGTCGTTTAATTTGATCAGTGGTAAGTTCTGCCAATTTACAATTTTTGAATATTGGAATGTTGTGTTAAATGACATGTGGGGACAATTTGTGGCATGCATCCTATCAGTTAATTGTTTGCTAAATAATTTTTTGGTAAGTTAAGCTTGTAACTTCTATTATTATGTTGCAGACAGACACCAAGAAGATATCGGCTGTGTCTATATTTTTTGAGACAATGCCATACAGATTAGACGAAAGCACTGGTTATATTGATTATGATCAGGTAGGCCAATTTTTCCTCTATTATAAACCCCTCTAATATATCTAAGGTTTCTTACCAAAATTAGGATATTTTTTTTCTTTAAGGCATAATTAGCTTTTTCTTGAAAAGTAGCTAGAAATTGAGCATCCATGCACCTATTTTCTAGAATTGAGAACCGAATACCCCATTTTGAACCTTCTATGGTTTTTAAAAAGAAAAAAAGTCAACTTGGTCAATATTCTTAGTCATCATTCAATGTAATATATGCTTTTAGAAAGTTCATCCTCTGGATGAGTGAATGCTCAGTCTAAACTACTGAGCATTAAAGAAATGCATAGTTTTTGTTGCTTCCAATTGACATTTCTGTTACGACAAAAAAATTTTGTAATTTATTATATTTGCACCTTTGACTTGTATAAGCTTGATTCAAGCAATTATTTGCTGTTGACCTGTTGTGTTAATGTTAATTTTACCAAGCAATACCTTAAATCCAAAAGCATGAAGCTTCATTAATAGGGCTGTTGTTTAGCTCATTTGATTGGGAACTCCATTGCAGATGGAGAAAAGCGCCACACTATTCAGACCCAAATTGATTGTTGCTGGAGCTAGTGCTTATGCACGACTCTATGATTATGAACGTATCCGCAAGGTAACATCTTTTGTTTTAAACTAATCTCTTTGTTAGACAAAGTAATTATTTTTAAGGAGCACGCCGAGGATGCTGGTCTGTAACAATAGTATCTGTGATTTTTTTGGCAGGTATGTGACAAGCAGAAAGCAATCATGCTGGCAGATATGGCACACATCAGTGGATTGGTAGCAGCTGGTGTGGTACCATCACCGTTTGATTATGCTGATGTTGTGACTACAACAACCCACAAATCCCTTCGTGGACCTCGTGGAGCAATGATTTTCTTCAGAAAGGGTGTAAAGGAGATTAATAAACAAGGGAAGGAGGTAATCAGCTCAATTCATATGTTGCTTTATAACTAAGTGACTACTTTTTAACTCATGCCAACTATTTGATTCTTATAGCTCATGATATAATCTCTCTGTCCGGAATTAGTAGTCACATTGTCCCTACCTCTCATAACTATGAATATGGCATAACTTGACAATAAGACCCTACTTAACAGTTGGATAATTTTCATCTTCTTTCCATCAGTTACTAAGAAGTTGGCCTTGTGGCATATTGACCAATCTATTCAAATCATTACTATATTAGGAATTGTAACAAAATTTTCCTGACATCCTAAATAATTATATGTAACCATTTATCCTGGATGGAGAGACGATATTATGTATGCTTTACCTTATAGTCCAATTTATCCTCTATGAAAGACATTAAATTCTAGTTATTTTCTGCAGGTACTGTATGACTACGAGGACAAAATCAATCAGGCTGTCTTTCCTGGTCTCCAGGGTGGTCCTCACAATCATACAATAACTGCCTTAGCAGTCGCTTTGAAACAGGTTTGTGTAATGAAAATGATGTTCGGTACCAGTCATAATGATGCTAATTGATGCTGTATCTGGTTATATTGACAGATAGGAGTAATAGTTTTCCATATATAAAGTATGTATCAAATAGTAAACAAGTTTTTTTTTAAGGGATCAAACTCTTACTCTAATGAGTTTTTTTATGTGTGTGTGTTGATGATTGACTTTGCTTCGTATATGTTTTTTTGGGAGTATATTTCTTTAGGTTTGTAAATCTCTTAATATCAGTTTATGAAGTCTAAGCAACCAATGTTTTGCTTATATCAGGATCTTTTATGGTTATCTTTTACTTCAAGTAGTGTTTAGGCTATAAAATATAAATAACTCTCTTTTTATGATAAATTTCAATTTTAAGGAATTTGGATTTTATAGAATCTATTTCTTTTCTTTCTTTCTTATTTATTTTTTAAAAATTGAGTTTTTTCCATCACTTTGTTTTTCTATTCTTTTTGAATTATTGTATTGGGCTCAACTGTTCACTTTTCAGTTTGAGTCACCTTATCCTTGCTTTTCTAAATTGATATTAATTATATTTTCATTCCCCTCTGCTGAGCAAAGCCTCAATGTAACTTAGACTATTAAGGGCCAAAGTCTTGGGAATTTTTATCTACTTGGAATGCCAGCAGAGTCATGCCATGCCCTTAAGAGGATTAGGTATAGTTGATGTGGCTTTCAGTATAGCTAATGATGAGCAGAGTAACTCATATGCAGGACTAGCAAATTGATCTTATGACAATTTGTATTGATTCAAATATTTGTGAACTCTACATATCTGTTATAATTGTAAGTTTGAAGCTTATCATTATTAGAAAACCATATAAAACCCAATTTATCAAAAAGACTGTAAATTGCTCTGGTTTTCATTTGAAATTGGTTGAACAGCTCTGCTAACTATTGCTGTGATCATGGATGATGTACCACCCTAAACCCCCAGCATTTGAGATTTTTTTATTTCTACTATATGCCTTCTATAGACACTTCTTTTCACTTAGCAATTTATGGTGACTTTCTTCCCCCTCCTCTTCTAAAAGCTATACAAACTCTTGTTTGGGTGTCTAGTTGCTTATAGCAGTCTGTGACATCTATTTCAATGTTTCCTGAATTGAGGCTCATGATACCTTTGCGGAAATGCAGGCTATGACTCCTGAATACAGAGCATACCAAGAACAAGTTCTTGCCAATTGCTCAAAGTTTGCAGAGGTAAATTTATGTGGCCATGCTAGCATGCTAAGTTTATTAGGATGAGTTATGGATTTGAATAAAATTATCTTTGTTGAAAAATAATTTTACTTTATGCTACATTCTGCAGGCTTTGGCTGGGATGGGCTATGAACTTGTTTCTGGTGGAACAGACAATCATTTAGTTTTGGTGAACCTGAAGAACAAGGTGAAGATGACTTCTTTTATGATAACTTCTTATTGACAATATCTTTCTATATTTTTCTCTTGCAACTTTTGCATTTCTTCTGGTCTAGCTGACATCATAATAAGCGTAGAGAGGTAACATAAATGCTGGCTGCCTGGAAGTATCAACAATTTGCTTAGGTTAAGAGATCTTGTCAAATGATATGTAGCAAAAAATACTTCATGCGGTAGCAGAGACAACTTATTGAATTATGGAGTATTAATTTACCCAGATGACACACTGTAAAATTTTGTGTACTGGAGTAACAAATGTTTGCTACTTTGCTCTATATGTAGTGTAACGAAAGATTTTTCTTTGCCACTTACATTGGATCTTGCTTTGTCAGGGTATTGATGGCTCCAGAGTAGAGAAGGTTATGGAAGCTGTGCACATTGCAGCCAACAAAAACACTGTGCCTGGGGATGTTTCTGCTATGGTTCCTGGTGGCATTAGGATGGGTAAGAGGGCATACCCATGGAATTTATTCTGTTATTTTCTGGCTTCCTGTAACTTAAAATTAAATTTTCTTACTTTATGTTCCAGGAACACCTGCCCTAACATCCCGGGGTTTTGTTGAACAAGATTTTGTTAAGGTGGCTGAGTATTTTGATGGTGCTGTCAAGCTGGCTCTAAAAATCAAGGCGGATACTAAAGGTACCGCTTGCTCATCATCTTTTTCCATGTCTAACACCAAGTAGTATTGAAGTGCATGCAAATATGATATATGTCTATGTTAGGAGGAAAAATGAAAAAGAAGAGAAAAGAGAAATTATTTTACAACTGGTGCATCTAAAAGCATTTTACTTATGTGAATGTGATGATATTGACTGCTTTTGCATATCAGGAACAAAGTTGAAGGACTTCGTTGCCACCCTGCAGTCAGGTACTTTTGATTCAGAGATAGCAAAGCTAAGACATGAGGTTGAGGAGTACGCAAAACAATTTCCGACAATTGGATTTGAAAAGGAAACCATGAAGTACAAGAATTAAACAAGCTTTTCTACAAGTTGCAAGGTCGGTTATTTGATATGGAAAATGTGATATTATTTTCCATAGTAAATTACTCTATGCTAGGCATGATAATTGAGACCTACCTTTAAGTTTGATGTCCTTGTCACCTTTCTTAGGCTAGGGAAGTCTTGACATATGTAGTTTTTGTTTCTTTTCACCTTATTTTTGCTAAACTGAAATTATTTTTACAGAATATTATTTGAATAAAGTGAAGAGAACGGGCCTTATAATAATCAAAACACAAAATGAGACACATCAACAAAGGAAGTTGTGACAAACAGTACTAAATTGAATAACTTCCATGGAAATTGATTATTTCAATGAATAGAACAACTTGAATAACCTCCATGGAAATTCTTCTGTTTCAACAGTCCCAAAATTTTCTCCCGTCAAAAAAAAAAAAAAAAAAAACACAGTCCCAACATTTTCTCGTAACATATATTTAAATGGCTACTTTGGGCATTGTGAATCTCTCCCCATAAGTAATAGAAAAAGAATTTAAGGGGAGGGAGGTGAGGGGGAGGGAAGGAAGAATGGAGAGTTTTCCTTCCAACTCTCTTCATTGTTGGAGGGATCATTTTTATAGAATTTAATCCCTCCATTTCTCTCCCCTCCAATTCCCCCCCCCTTTTTTTTTTGGTTGGACCCCTCCAATTCCCTTCATCCCTAATTTGTTATCCAAGTAAAAGATAGTCTCTCCCTCCATTTCCCTTCCCTTCTTTTCTTTCCATTTCCTTCAATCCAAACACACTCTTAGTTTAAATTAAGTGAGCTACTTCATTGTCAGGTGATTGTTTGTACTTTGTAGATAGAGCCTTGGGTATTTTATATTTTTTTATTTATTTTTCTTGCCCCTCCAATTCCCTTCATCCCTAATTTGTTATCCAAATAAAAGATAGTCTCTCCCTCCATTTCCCTTCCCTTCTTTTCTTTCCATTTCCTTCAATCCAAACACTCTTAGTTTAAATTAAGCGAGCTACTTCATCGTCAGGTGATTGTTTGTAGTTAGAGCCTTGGGTATTTTGTTTATTTTTCTTGTTTATCTGTAAACATGGTCACTGACTCACTGTATTAGGGGGTCATTATGATGTCGCACTTGGGTTTGAAGTAGGTTGCTCCTGGTTCAATAGCTACATTCTTGATGTGACTGTGTCTGAACTCCAGTGTCAGGCCTCAGATTAGCCCAAATGTCACAGAGCAGGGTTGTATTGATAATTCGAGGGATATTTGTCCCAAACGGATACACTTACTATAGATGCTCTCAGGTTTTTGTATAGACATGTGTGATACCCCATTTACACTAATTAGCTTCATCCTCTGGGGATGTAATATGAGCTTGCTACACTCACGAACAATGTTGAAGTCACAATTTATGAAGTGATACAAATATACAATTCATGAAGTGATGAACATCATTTGCTTTTTGAGGAAGCAGGAATTTACTATCAGTGTGTCCTAGAACAAGTTTCGTATGTTGGTTGCAGCACGCTGTTGGAGCTTGTATAGTTGTTTTCTGAATGCCTTTTTTTTCTTTTTTTTTTTTTTTTTTTTTTTTTTGTAGCACAGGTCACTTTGAACTCCAAAGAAGCTGATGGAACCAGACTGGGATGACCATTATATGGATATACATGTATAATCTTGAAGCCGAGGGCAAAGTCAATGTAACACATGTTTATTGAACTCCATTAGCTGTATATTATGTAATTCCGTCTCTACTTTGATGTATAAATACATATTCAAGGAACATTAACTCAATAAATTTGGTGTTCAGGGTTGGTATCAAGCAAATTATGCTTCAACCACAAACAATGAGATCTTGTCAACTTTAGGCGCACCACCCTTCCGTAGTTGAGATCTACATTGAAATCTTGAAATCATTTTACATTGAAATTGTAAAGATTTAAAGAGATTTGGGTGGGAGATTACAGAAGTATGGTACAAAGTCAACAGTAAATTATACGAAATATTCGAAATTGGTCGTTCATGGCCATATTTGGTAGATGGCTTTGAAAAAAAAAAAAAAAAATTTAAATGCTATTTATTTGGTTATTGATTGTTTCAATTAGCTTGATAGGCTAATTATTGCTTCTTCCGTTTCGTAATGTTAGTCTCATATACTATTTTGGGTGTTTTAAAAAGGTCTACCATATTAAATATGTTCCATTTTTAACTTAGGTTTTTTGGAATTAATTGGTTGTGGATTGATGGCATGACTTTAAATAAGGAAATCTTTACCTTGAATATTATGCAATTATGACTTATGTTTTCCCAAAAAAAAAATCAAAAAAATTAAATAAGGTTAATGAATCTAATATCATGTCACTAATATATAAAGCCGGTGTCGCAGCCAGGCCACGAGACATTGACACCTGGCATTTCAGTTTTTTGCCAAGTGTCGAGCCACGTAGGCGACAAATAGGTATTATTGTGACACATAGGATACTAAGTAAGCGAATTTTGGATAAATTTTTTAAGATAAAAATATTGTATAGAGTTTTATTATCGATATACTTCTAATATTCATATATATAAAATTAATTATAACTTTCTATAAATATCTTATAACTCATTATTATTTTCATCATAAAATTTGTTTTTAAAAAGTTCTTTAAAATGAGATCCATTTATAATATATTTTAATAAAAAAAATAGAAAATCAGTAAAAAATAACTTTTAATCAGAAAAAATAATTTTAATTTGGTAAAAATACTTTCAGTTCATTAGAAATAATTTAAGTGCAAAAAAAAATATCAAGTTAATAATAATATAGATATTTTATTTACAAATAATACAAAAAGTACACGATTATATAAATAAGCGATATGATATCATGTGTCTAAATATTTTACATTTTCAAAGGGGTTATATGATCGTATATAACATTTAAGCTAAAAAGTTTAGGACAATCCGGGCATAGCCCGGGCACAAAACTAGTATATATAGGGAGTTTTTTCCCAAGATTTTAGAGAGCCACCTAGGATTTTAATTTTTAAAAAATTATTAGAGCGCCATGTAGGATTAGTATTTTTAGAGCGTTACGAGTAGGATTATGCCACATAGGATTATTATTTTAAAGTGTCACGTAAGATTAAAATTAAAGGTTTTAATTTATTATAAAAATAAAATAATTTCTTTTAAAATTGAAAATTTTATCTAAGAGAAAAGAAACAATTTATTTTAATTCTTATATAAAAAAATACTATTAAACTTAAAAATGAAATTCACATTTAATTGATATTTAAAAAAAAAAATTGGATTTGATAAAAAAATAATGAAAATATTGTTGATAATTTAGAGTGTCGGAGGAGCGCTCGCGCTTCTGAAACGCGCTCGCGCCAGTTAGGCGCGACCCGCGTCAAAACCGCGCATAAACCGCGATGAGTTTCTGGAAATTCTGGAAAAGTTTGGAGGCGCGCCCGCGCCATGGCATGGCGCGACCCGCGCTAACTTCCTGGAATTTCAATTATTTTAGGCAAAGAAGGAGGCGCGCCCGCGCCCCATGGTGGAGCGCCCGCGCTTCTGTGGTGGCGCGCCCGCGCCTCTTCGCACGCGCCCGCGCTTCTTGCCGTTTTTGCGGTTTTATACGGTTGATTCTATTTTTTTTAAAAAAAGAGGTTTTTCGAAAAAGAAAAAAAAAGAACAGAACATTCATTCTGATCTCCTCCCTAAGAATTCTCCCATTTTTCTCTAAATTTTCTTGCAAACTATTTGAGAAAAACTTCTTGATTTTAACCTTCTTTGAGAATCATTCATCTTTGTTTTCGATTCTTTGTGATAAGAACGGAAAGGGCTGTCAATTGTATCTCAAAGGGAATTTCCGGATTAACCCAAGCACGTGTGGGGGAAATTAATCCCTTTAGGAAAGTATTCATACGCCTTTGACAGTGTATCAAGATCATAGTCTCAAGGGACGTTGCAATTCTCATGTTCATGTTCGGTTGATCGGCTTGGAATTAAGGCAAGTGTAATTAAACTTCACATTAGTGTAATCATTAGAAATTTCTGTAATTTCTTAGTGATATTAATACTTGATTGTAACACATTGGTTGTGTTTGTTTTTATTACTTTAATTT